ATACCAATCAACCACAACACACACATACACAAACAAACAAACATACGCACAAACAAACAAATACACACACACAAACAAACAAACAATCGAACCTCTCTTCAAAGCATGTGGCCAGTCGGTGGGACCAACGTACCCCGGTTTAAACCAGTCAGCAACCTCCAAATCATCCACGTAATCTCGACACCTCCATCGTAATATATCGGAGTTGAATAGACCCGATGGCGACCAGACCAACAGACCGTGGGCTGTTGTTTAAATAAAATCAATTTTTAATTATACCAAGTTAGCTCAGTCGGTAGAAGTGTCATGTCTCGCGCTGCTATTAGGCGCGGCGCTGGTTCGAATACGGGCTGTCCAAAATTCAAAGACTGTTCTACGCGTGTACGTTCGTCGTCTGGTGTGGCTTGTAGCACGAAAGTTTAATTACAAGCATAGATAGAATAACACGTAAGCGGCTCTGCGTTTGACCAGAGTTTTTTCTAAGTCTTTTTTGTATTTCACATATATTACACATACCCCGATATGTGATGCATGTGATGTTGTTCACGGACACACACACACACACACACACACGCACACACAAACAGAATTCAGTTACAAGAAAACAAAATTCGGCAAAATATAGAAACCTGTGACAACGTTGTGAATTTCATCGATCTTCGCTGCTATCAGCCGTGCATCACTTCTGATCTCGATCTTATCGGGGTAGGACCAGTAGTCTGGAAAGTGGAGGGGTGCGGGCTGGCCGTCGATCCATAGGCTGAGGTAGTCGTCCCCCGTTATGAACATACCTGATGAGAAATACATCGCATTGGGGTTATATTTTTAAAGTGATGGATATACATATATTGGATAGATGGCTTAGGTTCATAAAATTAGATTATAAGCATACTTTGCTGGTTTGCATATCTTGCTACAAGACGTTATGACGGTGCGCTGATGTTCATATATATACCAGTACCACCAGTGGCACGGATCTAGGCAACTTTGACGTTGGGGCAAAAATTTTGAAAATGTTAAAATTTTGGATGGGGTGGGTGGGTGGGTGGCAAGATTTGTGGCATTGTGGCTGGCGGCCTTTTTTTCTTGCTTATCACCTCCATTTTTGATTTTTTTGTCAATTTTCGACAACATAAAACAGTGCTTTTTTCTGTTCAAACGATGAGTTAGAGTAGGGTATCCAACATACCGCTTCTCACAGCGGCCCTCCCTCTCGCCAGGTCCGCCACTGATCACCCCGTACATATCAGTTTATGATATCAGCAGTTGATACTTAACATCACAGCATTCCCCATATTATTCCTTTTACGAGTTTACAGGTGAACCAACTCTTTTTCTAGAAATGAATTGAAAATGATGTAAAACGCAGGGAATCACGTCTGTATCGCTCGAAATCATGATGCAACTATCTTAACTACGGTCCAATCACCCGACATCAACACGATTAAGAAAATTGTATGGTGCAGATATCGTCTATGGATGTCTAGACGAAAAGATGCTAGCCCGACAGGTGCGATTCGTAGACCAAATTAGGTAAGATGGCTGATAGCCGCTGCTTCTTTGACCACTGAGTATATTTTTGCAGTTATGTTAAGTTCCTAATTTAGATATTTATTACCTTATTATCTGCTGAATGAAACTTACCATGTTTTATTAGTCAAAAAAAAAATCATTTTTATTTGACTCCGACCAACTCCAACGCCCTGATCAAAACGAATTCAGTGCATATGGAAAGCTTTTCATTTAAAAGTATCTTTTCAGATAACTGAATTAATATACACAAGCTTTATTAACCTCCCCTTTTAACCCAATACTTAAATGAGATGAGAAAAATTGAAGTACAGTCGACAAAATTATTGAAGTAAAACTTTCCCAAGCTTAAAAAACCAATCAATAAATGAAGAAATAATCATTTATTTATTACATACATTTATTTATTAACAGATAAATAAAATAATAAAGATAAATAAAATTAACATATAAATGAATAAATACTTCTGTATTGGAACATTCCATTGGTAGGCAAGCTCAAAATTGTTGAAAAAAGAATAAAAATATTGTTAGCCGACCCCGTCATAATTGCAATTAAATTAATTATAGCTAAATTTATTATGATCGAATTATAAATAATTTAATTATGATCGAATTATATTATAAGTTAATTATGATCGAATTATAAATTAATTGTGTGGTCGAATTACAATTAAATTATTATGGAATTATAAATAAATTAATTACGATCAAATTATAATCTAATTAATATAGTTAAATAATTATTCAGATGAATTCCACTTCCACTGTTCAGTAAACAACGAAAATTGACAATTACCGAAACGAAAAATTTAAAAAAAAATGACGCAACTATAGTTAAAAGTAAACTTACGCCTAAAACGAGACTTCGAAAATTCGTAAATTTACAACAGAAAAAAGATAAAAAAACTCGAATTTCATCTAGAAACTTCTGATAAACAGACAAGTCAGAGTTTTTTTTTTTACTGTTGAGTAACATTTTTGCATAAATATAAAAAAATACGGAAAAAATACCAAGTTGAATGATTACGGTATAGAGACATAGATACAAAAACTCCTTATTACTTAAAAAGGTAAGTTTTTACATATCTATGAGTTACAGATTATCATCAATTAATTGTACAAATTATAATCAATTAATTGAAAATACTAGAGTCATCCAACCAATGTAAAATCGCCATAGACTCATTTAACTGTACTAATAAAATAATTAAATAATTATATGTAACTTTAATACCACCACTATTATTACTAATAAATGGCAACGATGTTAAACAACAACGACAATAATAAATAACAATAATAATAATAACTTATCATCATCATCAACAACATAGCCATTATCATCATTTTGAATAAGACTGTATGTCTGATAGTTGTAGTAGACAAGAGGGGTCCATTTTATCAATTGTATATTATTACTTTTATTATTTTACTATATTAAATTATTATTATTATTATTATATTAATACGTTATCATTATATAATTATTTATTATTGTTGTTGTCATTATTGTTAAATTATATCCTAAGGTTCACAAATAGATAATCATTTAATCGATCAACCAAGCAATCAGTCAACCAACTAAATCAACAAACAGTTTAATCAATCAATCTACCAACCAATTAATCAATTATAATCATAACCAAACTACTCAAACAGAAGTAATCACTAGATTAACTAAACCAATCAGTAAATCAATCAATCAACCAATCATCTATTCAGCTAACTATTCAAAAGATCAATCAATCAATCAATTAACCAATCAATCATCTATTCAGCCAACCATCCAACAGATCAATCAATCAATCAGGCAAGCAATTAACCGAGCAATCAACTTGATAATCCACTACTGATTATTATTAATTGTAAAAAATTCATTGAATAAAAATAAAGTTATCAAAACCACGAATAATAACTTATTCATTTTATTTGAAAAGTAACAAATAATAAATAAACAATAATAACAATGACGATGGTAACACAATTATATATATATATATATATATATATATATATATATATATATATATATACAAGAACATTAACAATGATAACGATAAGTCGTTGCTGTCATGCATGTTTCTCTCTATCTCTCTCTCTCTCTCACACACATACACACAAACAGACACACACCACACAGACACACACAGACACGCACACAGACGACATTGTCAGGCATTTTTCTAAAAAGTAACCAGGTCATTTCTTTTTGCCAGAAACCATGAAATTCTTACTTGAATAAACATTAAAAATTACGATTATACTTATACGGGGGATCATACAATCTTTTTGGTTTTCTGCTTTGTAAATATTCAGTCAATTCATCATCACATCAATCCACAATCACATCAATTCATCCTCAATCATCACATTAATTTGTCATTACACTGGTTTCTAACATTTTTACATCAAATAAATTAATTTATAATGTAATCTCGTTCTTCTTCCAAGGCTCAACCTTGATTTCGTTCAAACTTTTTTCAAGATAACTAGGTCCATTGCATTTGAATGCTACGTGGATTCAGCCAAGATGGTCGACACGTAACTCCATCTTCTCACTAATCATCTATTCCTTCATGTCTGCTTCTTGCAAAATAAATTTAAAAACAAAACACACACACACACACACACACACGCTGAAAAAGAAATGGGAGTCACACATAAAAAAGGAGAGAGAGAGAGAGAGAGAGAGAGAGAGAGAGAGAGAGAGAGAGAGAGAGGAGAGAAACAGAGATACAAAAAAGAGAATGAAGAAATATAAATACATAAAAGAGAGAAAGATAGAGAAAGACAAAGGAAGAAGAGAGAGTGAGAAAGGTAGAAAAAGGAGAAACATACAAACACCAGAGCGATCAAACATTACAACTTGAAATACAAGTAACAAATACTACTAAGAATTACTAAGAATTACGAACAAAAGTAGTAACTGGAGGGAGCAATGAGTAATTGAATGTAGTGTTGTTGTAGTTTGTTCAATTAGTTGTTGTAATAATTGGTATAATTTGTTGTTGTTGTAGTTGACATACTTAGTTGTTGTAATTGGTATGATTAGTTGTTGTGGCTGATGTACTTAGTTGTTGTTGTAGTAATTGATGTAATTAGTTGTTGTAGTAGTAATTGATGTAATAATTAGTTGTTGTAGTAGTTGATGTAATTAGTTGTTGCTGTAATCGACATAATTAGTTGTTGTAGTAGTAATTGATGTAATAATTAGTTGTTGTAGTAGTTGATGTAATTAGTTGTTGCTGTAATCGACATAATTAGTTGTTGTAGTAGTAATTGATGTAATAATTAGTTGTTGTAGTAGTTGATGTAATTAGTTGTTGCTGTAATCGACATAATTAATTGTTGTATTTGATGTAATTAGTTGCTGTTGTAATTGACATACTTAGTTGTTGTTGTAGTTGATGTAATTATTACAGAAAGGTGTTACAGGAAAACGTCATCCTGGTTATTGTTTTTGTTATTTATCTTTTTTTGCCAGTAAATATCCAAACAAACATATGATGTCCAACCACAAGCAATTGTTAAAATAACATTAACAACAACAACAACAACAACAACAACAACAATAATAATAATAATACAGTGTAATGATAATAATTATAACCTGCCAACATTAATGATAATAATATAATTAACAACGTGAATGATCAATGATACTATCATGGAAAAGAGTTTACAGTTATAATTAGCATTGGTAGAAATAATGATATCACTATTATTACTGTTGTTGTTATTATTATTGTTATTATTATTATACCATCATTTATTATTTGTATTTATTATTATCATTATCATTATTCATTATTATTACTAGATACTTATCATCGTCGTCATCATCAACATCATCTTCATCATCGTCATCATTTTTAGCACCACCATCATCATCATCATTTAGGAGTTCATCTGATGATGATGATGATGGTGTTGTTGTTGTTGCTGCTGCTGATGATGATGATAACTACCGCCACTGCTAACGTTGTTGTTGTAGTAATTGTTGTGCCTCATACCACCACCACTGGCTCCAGAAGCTTGGGTAGCCGGGCCGTACCTATTTCCACCCCCACCCCTATAAACTGGCCCCCCGCTGCTGGTGTTGTTGCTGCCGCGGGGTTGTGGCTGGTGT